TTTCTTGTACAAGTTAAAAAGATAAATATCAATTAACTAACCTGAATCTCGAAAATATCGGTTTCATTTTTCACATGCTTGGGCCATAATACATTCAAGTGTCTATACATTTCCCTTTTTTTATCTTTCCAGTATCTGTTTGAAATCAGTAAGCTTAGCTTCTACAGCAACAAATATTTCCTGAGAAGTTGCCTCAACTTGTATGGCGGTCTTGACTTGTGTTTCTAAGTGATGCTCATCAAAAGAGAAAATCAAGCTCTAAACATTAGCCCAAACCTGCAATAACCCTCTTCAGTATTTTTTTTTTAATTCGTTTCAAGATTAAAAAAGATCTATACGGTTATGTAACCTTTAACCAAAAAGTTGCCTACCTATGCAAATCAAAAAATGACATTCAACTAAAAGTCACTCTTATTCCAGTTCATATATGATAACAAAGTTAACTTTCAATTAAAAAAAACAACAAAAACTTATTAGTACACTAATATTATGGGTTATAATAATGTAAATATACCGAACTACAATACTTTGACAATCTTGGTTTCCTGTTACAACCTTCTACTATTATGGGTTACTGAATCGGAAAAAAAATACCAAAAATTATGGGTAATTTGTTTTGGAACCAAAAGAACTGGAAAAGAACTAAAAAGAACCAAAAAGACCCGGTTTGGTAAAAAAAAATTAGGGTTTTTTTTGGTAATATTTTCAAACTTAGAGATGTTTTTAATCCTTTATATGGCAGCCACGAACACACTTCATGGTATCTTTAATTTGGTCTATGCATTTGATAACCTATATATCCGATTACAGATTCAAATGTTTGAATTCATAGGTTGTAAAATAGTATAAGACCCCTGTTGGTTTTTTTTGTTTATAAGTATCTTTAATCATAAAAAAAAATAATAATAAAAAAAAAAAAAATAGTACAATAAAGTAGGCATTTTGACAAACACCTTAAAGGCAATACACAAAATTACTGTGAACCCTTGTCGTTTCTGGATTGTTTTCTGAACATTTTTATATTCTATCTATATACGAAAATCAAACACTCTGTAGCTTAACAATTTTAGTTTTCATCCAAATAAGCAGTCTAATCTAGCTTTTACAAACATAGTTACGATTTGCCTCAAAATAAACTCACAACAATAAATAGAAGTGAAATCTATTTGGTTTACATTTCAGGTTGAAATTTAGACTCGTTTTGAGAGGTTTGAGGATTCTATTAAGCACCTTATTTCAAATAACACAACAAAGAATCAAGAATTAGAAATTTATGAAAAAAGAAAGGAAACACAAACGTTGAAGAAGATTTGTAGAACGAAGCAGCTGAAATACAAACCTTTTCTTAAGCCTAACCTCTTTCTCGTGAAGATTCCTTTGTTCCAGCAGTGATAAACACGATTCAACTGATCAAATTGAAATGAAAAGTCTGTCAAACTGAGAAGGCAATGTCAAATCAGAGAGAACGATACAAATTTATTGAGAAAACCCATCTGTCGTTATCCCTTTCTTGATCCTCTCATCCCATAGAAATCATAAATTGAGATTGAAAGAGGCGGTTCAATGTTGAAATCTTTTGACAAATTTTAGAATATTGCTCAAAGGATCGACGTTACCGATGGCTAAGAAGGTTAAGGTTACCGGACTTAGCAACGTCGTCGACAAAGTTGTTGGGTAGCGATGCGCCTTGCAGAAAACCGTCGACGGTGGGGTACGATAGGGGTGAAGCAGGTGTGAAGGTGGTCGTGTGGTGTTAGTCGAGACGGCGATGACGATCGATGATCTCTTTCCGGTTGCATATATGATGGTGGAGAAGGTGGAAAACGCTCCAATCGAAGGACAAAACATATTAAAGCGGTGGTGAGGTGGTGTCGCAAACGCAAATCATCAAACAGATCGAATATGCGAAGTAAAAAGTCGGTGAAGTCGGTGGATGGATTAACCCGTGGAATCTAGAAGCTGAGTCAACCGAGTTTTAACAGTACCCCATTCGGATACTGTTCATAAGCATGTTGTGATTTAATTGTATATATAATTCCATTACTTTGCTTCTAAAAATTAAAAATATCGAAAGTTTCAAAGATATAATTGAGAAAATAAAAGTTTATTGTGACAAAATTTATAAGGTTTATTAATCTTATATTTCCTACACCTAGGCATGAATCATTTTTATATTTAAAAAACTAAATAAATAAATAAATAATAAAAAAATAAAAAGTTAAGGAAACTTTAAGAGCATCCCCAATCCACTCTCATTCTCCATTTTTCCCCATTTCTTTAATATTCTTCTTCAACTCTCATTTATTCTCCCATTTTAGAGGATATGAATAGTATTACACCAAATATGGTGTTATATTATTCATTTCTTCCAAAATGAGGATGAATTTTGCGTTGTCGGTTTTAGTCTCTCTGTTTATATATTTATACATTTATCGTTCATTTTTACCTACTAATTATAATTTAAATATAATGTTTAGTACTTATAATATTTTGTTATATATTAAATTATATTAATTAATTATAAATATAAAGTTTTTTTTTCATCAAATTCATATAAAATTTTAAATACATATTGAAATTTTAAAAAACGATAACGTATTTTATAAAAATTTATAATTAAAAGTATGTATGTCTAATATTTATATGAATGTATGTATAATATTTATTTAAAAGTATGTATGTGTAATATTTTTTATAAATACATGTATAATATTTATTTATAAGTTTATTACAAATATAATCTGTTATATTTAATATCAATTTAATGAAAAAAATATAGATTATATATTTGTTAAAACTAAATTAGTAGATGGTATGTTTGACAATCTATGTAAGTTGAAATAATGAAATATACTAAGAATATAATTTTTAAAGGTAAAAATATGATAAAAATGGAATATGATTGGAGATGAAACACTATTTATCTCATTTTTATATTTTTTTTGAGACAAAAATGAATATGATTTGAAGATGGTGTAGGATTAAACATATAACTTCCCATAACACAAAAAATTTAAGAGAAACAAGTGTCGTGTGGTTTATGTATAGGGGAGAAAAGTTTATGGATTGTTTTTATAACTTTTATAGGTTTATGAATAAAAAGGAAAACTCAAAGGGTCATTTTCGTAAATAAGATTCAAAGGATAGAGGAGCACAATTATAAAACCCAAATATAAAACATAAAAATAATAAATATAGGCTCAAGATAGAGGAGCATGATAGTAAAACTTGAATATAAAAATAATTTTCCTAATGGGCCATATGAAGCCTACTTTCTTTTACTTAATAAAATTATATATTATATATAAAGATTTTATATTGTATGGGGGCTAAGACCAATCCAATCCATATGACTACGCCCCTAATTGGCTAATTGTCGTTATTATGTATAGAAGGGTTTTTATGTAATTTAGCTTATATTTTGTTGAGATGTTAGTTGTAACTGTTTTGATTTCTTTCTCTTGTATAAGTATATATCGACTCCATGTGTGAATGAGTTAATGAGAAAAAATTTTATTCTCTCAGTCACTTTAGTTCATCGTTCACTTTAGTTCATCGTTCTGATTCTTTGCATGTATAAAACGGGAAAGGATCTATATAAACTCAATTACAATATTCCTTGACTAAAAGTAAAAAGTTAGTAATTGGAAGTGGGATAGTCTTACTAAGGCCGGGAGGAATGGGGTGCGGGGAGAGCAGCGGGAAGCGTCCTGCACGAAGGAACATCGCATCGGCGGTGCGGGAAGGGTGGCACGGGAAAGGATGAGGGGTTTGGTTGTCACGTTCTCCTGCTTCGATGATTGGCTGGAAATGTTTTTTTTTTTTTGGAAATAAGTTTTAAAAAAAGGTGTGTGTATATATATAATTATATATTAGCAACAGCTATATGTCTTTAAATGTAATTTTTTTTTACCCTTTACAACCTCTATAAATACTTATATGCATTTAACTTCAATCAAACCTCAAAACCTCTATTTTCTTCAAAAAAAAAAAAAAAAAAAAAAAAAATTCCGGCAATCAAACCCCAATCTCCGATAGAGGGAAAAAAACTCATGTTTTGAGTTTAAACACCCCTACTCGAAACATTTTTGCTATCGATTCATCATCACAATGAGTTTATCGTCCCCAATTCGATGTTCACATTCAATCTTCACTACAATTTCAATACTAAAATGTTAGACAATATTACTCGGTCCAAGTTCCAAATGTTACTTCGCAACGAAAACAGACTCTAGTGGTTACACAACTTCCTCCGATGCTCGGTTCGGTCTAGATTTAAATCAGAAGGATGAACTCGAGCTAGAAGAAATGTCCGACCGATGGGTAGGGACAAAGCAAAGAGGAAGGGAAAAGGGACTTCTTCGGGTGCATCGGATTTCAGCATGGACATTAACGAAATGCGGAAAATAACAGCGTCGTTTGCTCGATATAATCTTAATTTCGCTGAACGTTTGGCGTTCGACAAAGAAAAAGAAGAAGCAAGGAAGAAGGGGCGCGCGGAGAGACAAGAAATGATTGATATGAAGTTCTTGATAGAAAACACTGACCGTCTCTCGGGACCGGCTCTCGAACTCGTAATGAAGAAAAAGGAAAAAATTATGAGAAAATATTTTTCATATGTTGTTGGTTTGTTTGATTTTTTGTTCGTGTTTTTTTTAATTTTCTATTTTTTTTTAAATCTTAGGTTTATTGTAATTTTTTATTTTAATTAATAAAATGCATTTTTTTTTAATTAAAAAGTTTGGTTGTTATTAATTTAAAATTTATAAATTATAAATATGAATTAATTTTATTTATTAAAAAAAATTAATGAGCCACGAAAAATAAGAAAAATAAGAGGAGTTTTCACCCACACTTTAGACCATTAAAAAAAGAAAACATACTACTAATAGTGAATAATAATAGTAGACATGTTTGCAACGCATGATTGTTATATCATTGATGAGAATTCACTGGAAAACGTTAACAAGTTTCATCTCGTTGGCATATTCTTGTTGTACTCATTGCTGTTTATGTGGGACAGTAAATTTGAAGTTTTTAACGGATGTAAAACCACCATCGACCACCAGGTTGTGGCCGTTGACATATTTAGCCTCATCGGAAGCAAGATAAACAGCAGCATCCACCACATCTCCGGGCTCACAGTAACTTCCCTTGAATTCCCCGGCGTTCTGCACCATACTCGTGATTTCTTCTTCTTCCAGATCCGGAAAATATCGTGCCAGTTCATCTCTCACTAAAGTCGTCGGAATCGCAAAAGGCGATATACAGTTAATCCGAACACCATGCTGTGACAGCTCCGACGCCAACGATTTCACAATTCCGACAACAGTAAATTTCGATATGGAATACGTATGTTGGGACAATCCTCCTAATACTCCGGTCACACTAGCAGTGCAGAGAATGGATCCGGTTTCACGGGGAATCATTACCCGTGACGCATGCTTGATTCCGGCGAGAACGCCGCGGACGTTGACCGACATGACCTGGTCAAACGTCTCGAGGTCGAGGTCGAGTATGGTAGGTGGAGTCCGGCATGGTATTCCGGCGTTGTTGTACATGATGTCAAGTTGACCGTATTTGGAAACAGTGAAATCGACTGCATTAGCGACGTCGGACTCGTTGGTGACGTTGCAGGAGATGAATGAGGCGTTGGGACCGAGTTGTGTGGCGGTGTTGTGGCCGAGGTTGTGGTGGATGTCGGCGATCACTACCTTGGCGCCATGGTTGATGAATTTCGTTGCGGTTTCTTTGCCGATGCCGCTTGCTGCTCCGGTGATGAGTGCAACTTTGCCTTGTAATCTGTTATGATGAATATATACGACAAATTTAGAACGCCGGCGGACGGCGGTGAAAAGATTATCATTGTTTTAATTATAATAAAAAAAAGTTATATATTGTTATTTCAATAGTAGTTGTTAACTATATTATATTCATACTTAATGTATTAATTACATATTTATAAATGTTTGGTAGCACAACCGGATCCAATATGTATAAAAAAAATTCCGTTTTAATCTGTTATATAATATATTTACAATAGGATCGATAAAAACTATCCATTTTATAACTTTTATTAGAATCGAAAACAATAGTTATGTAATATTGAGGAACATACCTTGGAGTCTGCGAAGAGAAACTGCTAAACTGAAAGCTTGGACTGACCACGGCTCTTGACATGGAGATGCTTCATTAGAGACCAAAACAAGAAAATTATTATTATTGTTATCATTTATATAGTGTGAAAAAGTAAAAGAAATTACAAACCAAGTGGATCTGATTGAGCTTAGCATCCTTAATCGAGAGAGAGAGAGAGAGAGAGAGAGAGAGAGAGAGAGAGAGAGAGAGAGAGAGAGAGAGAGAGAGAGAGAGAGAGAGAGAGAGAGAGAGAGAGAGAGAGAGTATATATATATATATATATATATATATATATATATATATATATATATATATATATATATATCCGTCTCAAAATGAACTCTTATTTATGAAATTTGATGGTTATGATTAATTGTGAAAAAATGATTACTTATTAAAGGTTGATTGTGTAAGTTTCTCAAAAGATGGATTTGGAATAAGAAAATGATGGAGGGTAATATAGTAAAATCAGGAAGAAATCACGTTTCTTACGCTCGCATGAATCATCGGACGCTCTAATTTTTCATTTTCTTAGTAAAAAAAATCTCAGTTTTTAAAATGTAGTTCTCTATACAAAAAGAACACAATCATGAAATTTTAAAAAATATATATATATTTAAAATTTTTATAAAAAAGACCCAGAAAAAATTCTCCTAAAATCATAAAAATATAAGGGATGTTTTTAGTCGCTATATGACTTTGTAAAAAAAATACAAAAATAAGTTTCGAAATGTATTTTTATTTTCGAAATATTATTTTTTATAAAATACAACGTAATTTTTTTTCCAAACTAAAAAAAACAAATGATAGAATTGTTTGTAATACTATTTTACATATGATTCAGTCTACATTTCAGTAATCCATAATCCGGTAATCTAAAAACAAAATGCATTTGGCTAATAATGATTTAATGTGGATTTGCGTCACGCAGTAGCTCATGTTTTGTTTCAATTCCAAAATACAAATTTGCAGTAACTACAAAGCTCATGGAATGTTTATTTGTTTCTTTGGTAATCTGATTCTACTTGGCTCTGCTTCTCATATCTAATCTTCGCTCTCATTTTGATTTTTGGCCGAAATTAAACAAATAAATATTCCATTATTCTTGGTTTTTGAATCTGATGACCTCTCGTTTTTATTTTCCGAGTGTTGTCGTTGATTCAAATGTAACATAATAACAGACGTAATCTCAATGGTTGAAACCTAACTTCAAATTAATGCATTATAAAATTTGATTTTTGTTTTGAATTGATTTGACTAACATCCCTAGTTGTCAGTTATCTCTAGTTTCTTTCACTTTGTTAGTCAGGGGCGTATTTAGCTTTGACGTATAAAAAAACCGCCCATAAAAACCGAACCGACCCACACATATATTATTTATTATGTTTTAAACTTTTAGTTTTAGTTTTAGATTTTAAATTTTATCCCTTTAGTACTTTATGTTTAGTTTCAACAAACTATTAATGGTGATAAACTTTGATCTTTTGAACATTTTTATACTTTTAGAATAGCAGAATCCGTACTCTTTATTTTAGTATATTTAAAGTAGATACAATACAATTTATCGCTACGTACTTTCACCGGGTTTGAACCCAAAAACTAGAAAACAACTTGAGCATATAAACCCACGGTTTAAAACCGAAAACCCATAAAACCAACCTGGAAAACCGAAAAACCAAACCATGTAAAAACCGAACCTATATGGGTTTAAAAACCGTAAAACCGACTTTCTATGGTTTGGTTTGGTTTTAACCAAAAACCGATCCATACTCATCCCTACTAGCTTATAACAAGGTAAGTTCTAGGACCTATCTAAAATTTGAATTTCATTTATAATATATATACCACAAAAATTAAGAACTACCTTATAAAAAATAAAAAACCTACCTTGAATTTGTTTTTCTAAAAAATGTCTTAAAAAACATTTTAAAATGAGCAAAAAATAAGTTATATGAGACATGTATGCTGCTAAATATACAAGGTTAAATATAAGATATAGTTTTTATCAAACAATAAGGTATCAATACACTAATAATCAACTAATTTTTTATTAAATCGTTCGGTTTTTTCAATTATATTTCAGTCGTTTTTTTTTTTAATTTTAATTGGTGGTGGCTAATCGGTTTTTTCAGTTATATTTCAGTAAATCATACCCGACCCGACCCCTCACAAGTGTTATTTGATTTTTTTATCGGTTTCATTTAATTTGAGAACCACATAATATTTTGTTCTAGATTAGCCACTGGTCATATTGTTGTAATGTTATATCATATATAATTTTCATATATTACGTCTCTTAAACATATTTTTTTTAAAAAAATGAAAAGTTAGAAAAGACTCAAAGTTGGGCTCAAGTTCTTCGGAATCAATACAAAGGCAATGATATCTATTGAAAACAATATTTTTCGCACATAATCCTATAAAAAAAAATGTATTTTGCATTACATATTTGTGTTTGACATTGAAAATTTATACCATAACCGATTACTATCCCTTCACTTTCCTTTTTCATATACACCTCTTTCTTCCATCCATACGTTAAATTCTCATAAAAAACTCATAGGTTAAATGCAAGAAACAACAATGTACTTTCATCGATATGTTTATTATAGCATCATATTTTCATCCGCAACATTCTTAGCAAACCAAAACTAAGAACAATCTAAAAAAATGAATAAAAGTACATTGTCATTTCTTGCACTTAAACTCTCTCAAATCCTACTCGCTCATAATCACACACAATGAAAAACTAAATATAACACTTACGACTACCACAAGTCTCCAAACAAAGACCACAAGATTCAAGTTTACACTACAAACCTGCATAAAATATAGATAATAGATATATATATAATTATATATACAATAGACTAAATTTACCTATGAATTAACCTTGCAAGACTTCTTATAGTGCCCTGGTTTCTTGCATGTGCTACAAGTCACTTTCCTTTTCAATTCTGCTTCTGTTTCAACACCTTCAATCTCTTTCTCTTTCTCTTTCTCTTTCTCTTTCTTCACCATTGAAGAAGCCCCTTTTACAGGAATTGGAGGTAGCACAAACACATTTGGATCCTCATGTTCTTCTCTAATCTTAACCTCAGTTTTCTCACCATCCAACTTACCCCCCTCTTCTTTTTCAGTCTCCACTTTACTACCCTCATCTTTTTCATTTTCCACTTTGCTACCTTCATCTTCCTTCACACCCTCTTCCATTTCAGTATCCATGTTACCCCCCTCATCTTTCTCAACATCCAGCTTCCCCACCTCTTCTTTTTCACTCTCCACTTTGCTACCCTCGTCTTTTTCGGTTTCCACTTTACCACCCTCGTCTTTCTTTTCATCCAACCTCATACCCTCTTCCATTTCAGTATCTACATTACCACCCTCGTCTTTCTCAACATCCAACTTTCTACCATCATCCTTGTCAGCCTCTACATTACTACCTTCATCTTTTTCATTGTCAGCTTTACTACCCTCATCTTTTTCAATTTCCACTTTGCTACCCTCATCTTTCTTGTCATCCAACTTCACGCCCTCTTCCATTTCAATGTCTACATTACCACCACCCTCGTCTTTCTCCGCATCCAACTTTACACCCTTAACTTTTTCAGCATCTACATTACCCCCCTCATCTTTCCCAAAATCCAACCTCCTACCCACATCTTTCACCAAATGTGGCCCATCAATCGGTATTGGGTTTATTGACTCAGCATAAGTCAACCGATACGCATCAGCAGTGAAATAACCAGAACAAAAATCATACGGATTTTTACCAGTCAGCATAAAAACCGCAACAGCATGATGACATGGCAACCCAATCCGCTTCCACATCATACACGTACAACTCCAATCACCAACATTCACAACATGTGTAGATTCTTCACGAACCTCAAAAATTACATCAGAAGAAATCAAGACTTTCAACCCAGTTGCCCTAACTTTCTCTTGTTCCAATTCTCTCTCTTTCAAAGCAGTGAGTTGACTCACCCACATACTCCCATCTAATTTAGCATATTCCATGTCATCAATCATGGTACGAATCAAAGCATCTATCTTTTGCAATATGGGTAAGTGGCGATGTTCTTCCATTAACTTAGCATACGATTCACCAACATCTTCAGTGATGTGGTTATACCTCTCACCTTTAAAATAAGAACTCGCATACTTTTCAGGCTCAATTTGCATGACCCAATCATGAGCTTGTGAAGATATTGTCTTAATGTGTTCAGTTGACTTTTTAAAACCCACGGGTCGAACCGCTTGTGCTGCAGCCAATAAATGAACAGACAAAAAAGCTTTTCCATCACCATGGAAAGGACCCTTCATGTGTCTCTTGAAACTTGCTAAAAGATGGTGAATAGAGTAACCAATGTAAGCATTTTGAAAAACCTCAACAACAAGATTTTTCAACTTCTTATCTCTATCAACCACAAATGTAATAGCCCTCGAGTCCAAAATCGAACCCTTTAGCTCCTCCAAAAACCAACGCCAGGTGTCATCATCTTCCACATCCACTACAGCAAATGCAACAGGGATAAAACCGTCATTTCCATCAACCGTGATAGCCATCAACAGAGTCTCCCCATACCTAGACTTCATAGAAGCAGATTCCAAGAAAAGAAGAGGGCGACAGTTCTTGAAACCATGAATCAACGCGTGGAAACATACAAAAAGGGATTTGAATCTTTTTTTATCACCAATTATGAGTTTAGCCACACTACCTGGATTTGTTTCTAGAATCTTGTCACAAAACCAAGGGAGTTTGTTGTAAGATTCTTTAAGTGATCCATGAAGTTGTTCCCTAGCATCCCCAATCCCACGCCACACTTGTGTATAATTCAATTCCACCCCAAAATCCTGCAAAATCTCATTAGCAATCTCTTTTGGTTTCAAATATGGCGATTCTTTTAACTTATCTTTTATGGTCCCCACCAACCAGTTCTTTGCAGGGTGGGCTGATTTTCTTGATTCTTTATCACAAGTGTGTTGATTATGCATTGTTTTTATAGTAAAAGATTGTGTGGTGGGGACCCACGCAGCATAAAACTTCCAAGTACACCCTTCAGCAGCACACCTTCCAACTGCACGACTTGTGTCATTTTTCTTGAATCTGTATCCGAATCGGTTTGCTATGGCATACTTTTTCAGGGCTGCCCGGAATTCATTTACACTTTTGAACTCCTGCCCGACACCAGTGATGGATGACTTCCATGCATCCACCATTGTTTCGGTAAGGGTATAATCGTCATAAATGGCGAGAGGTAAGTTTTCCTCAGATTCACTTTCTTGATCACTCTTTCTTTCTTTTGTTTCTGTAGAGCTATCTCCTTTAGCAGCTAACCTCCGAATCTTCCTTTGTGAACTTTCATCGTTATTTTTCCCACTTTTTTCCCGTTTTGACCCCGAATCAGGGGAAGAAACGATTGTGGGACGCCCGTTGGCGCCAAATTTCCAAGATGGGGTCCGCCTCCTTTTCTTGACAGAATCAGCAGGACTTGTAGTTAAATCCGTGTGCTTTCTCATTGAAGACCTTTTAGGGCGATAGTCTGAACCGGAATCGGAATTCGCCTTTTCATTTCCAGGGTCGGAATCAGAGCTTGAGGAAGTGTCATTGCCGGAATCTTCTGATGTGGCACCACTGGATTTGTCACTGCCGCCTTCTTTATTGTCATCAGATGACACTTTAGCAGCTGCTGCTGCTGCTGCTGCAGCTGCTGCAGCAGCAGCAGCAATGGCACGACGTGTCCTCTTAGCTGGAGATGCAAAAGAAGGAGGAGCTGTTGTCACCTTTTCTTTGCCACCTTTCTTGGTTTTTGAATTACTGTGTTTTACTTTTACAACAGTGTCATCTTTTTTCAAGGTCTCATCTTTCTTGGTGACAATTTCCCTGTTTACATTACCAATTTGATCACATTAAGTAGAGAAAAACATCACATATCTGCTATCAACTGACTTTGATTAGAATTGAAATCATAAATTGCATCACATACCTGTTGGATTCGATGTCTAGGGCACTACGATCAAAACCTGGTGTTCCCATAACAAAGACCTCTGCTGTGATGGCATCCCCATGAAAATCAATCATTCTTTTCAGATCTTTGTCATTCTTCATGACAATTAGGTTTTTCTTGTTTCCTGGGAGGAAATATTTGATGCTTATTGTCTTCTGATCGAAATTACATGCCTCAGCCAGCTTTAACTTTATATCATTGAATGGTGTCTCACTGGTGATATTTTCTGCATTTGCTTCTCCACCACTATATGACATTGTTCCATCATCTTCGGTCACAAACTTACCACCAGATTGGCAAATTAGAATAAGTTTCCCTTTCACCATTGCATATACCTACAGAAAGGACACAACCATTGTTATATATAATCTATACTATGCATATGAAGATATCATTATGAAAGAAATATATATGCTTCACTCATGTGATAAAAGAGAAGCTTTTAAAACAGAAAAATGTCAAAAGTATATCACAAAATCTTGATCATCTTCTTTTTCCCCCTAAAGTACATGCTTCAACAGGAATAGCTGAGGAGTTAAGTGCCCCTTCTAGGGGCAATGTTCACAAGAATGAAGTTGAAAAAAACTCTAACTTGGTAGGCAATTAACATCATTGAAACATGTTTATGACCTTTGGGGGTTAAAGAACTGGTTGCAGGAATAGCAGAAGTTAGATCCACTGTTTGTGTGTCCTCTCTTTAACCCACTAAAAGTCCATGTACAACCAGTCAACTTCTTACTTTCCAAGCAAGACAACATGAACTACAAAATAACCAAAATTGAATGTTTATATCCTAGTTGGAATTCAACTCAAATATTCAAATAAAAGCCCCATTACTGCAAATTCTAAGTCAAATTACAAAGAAAAAGAAATACATAACTTCAGTTACTAATATAACGTGCAGATAATCGCACTATCACTTTACCATTGTTCCGAAATTTGGTTTAACAACCTTTAGAAAGTTCAAAAGCCATATCAATCCTGAACTTGAAAGTCAAATAATCTACATTCAATTTAAAGTGTAGCTGTTTCCTGTTAACAGATGGTGTACAGATTGCATAACAATAAACACAAACAACACAAAATTCAACCAAGAAATACCAACAACGCAGCAAGCAGATTCATTTATCAACAAACCTCAGCAACACTAAAAACATAACAAGTTACACGTGTAACATGCTCAAAATGTTAGCTAGGTTTAAAAAGCCCAGAATTGGAAAAGAATATACACCTACTCGAAGAAAGGAAGTCCACTTAGCACCTTTGATTCTACAACAACTCGCTCGACTGAATCGAAACCCTAACTCTCTGAACGGGTAGGTTTACGATGGGGGAATTCTAGAGTGACGGATGACAGAGATCGTATGCGGTTTGTTCAGATCATGTCAAGGACGGAGGAATCGAGGGGCATTATGGAATTAGGGCAAAATCGGGGAAGAAATTGGAATGGAAAGGGCTACCTTCGTTACGAAAAATTGCAGAGAATTTGGGGGCTATATGTTTAATGTACTCGAAGAAGGAGGTCCCATATGGGAATTTGCCAGAATTGGCCTATATGCTAAGTTTTAAATGTTTTGTGGCAATACTAAAATTTCTACTAAATTAGAATTTTCATTTGTGATGCATGATTAGCAACCAAAGTTAAAAATTTTTAAAGAAAGATAAATATATAACGTATAAAAATAATTTTTAATTAAATAAATATATATTGTCATGAGAGTTACATGTAAATAAATTTTACGACGTATCGTGCAAAAAAGATTTAACGGTACAGATTGTTGATTGTTTGTCTTCTCACTCGTTGTATTATATTGTGATCACTGGTTAACTATATATATATATATATATATATATATATATATATATATATATATATATATATATATATATATACACACACACACAGAGAGACTTAGGTTTAAATGAGAACAATTATGTAATTGAGAACGCGAGAACAAATTTGTGTCACATATTTCTTTTTGTCGCAAAACACTTTTGCATTCCAGTGCGACAAATGAATGTAATATTCATATGTACATAAAAAGGTAAATATATATTAGAAAATTAGGGTATAAATGACACTTGGAAATCTGAAAATCATGAATATCACTTTCAGATTGAAGTATTTAGGTGGTACTCTCAATCTTCAAACGAATAAGACACGGATTTTTTTAGAGCGTAACAGAGAATGAATTTATAAGAATTTTCGTTAGTACCATAAAATGAAGACCAAAATTGGTTAAGTATATTTTCCAACAGAAAACTGTCATATGTCTAAAAAATGGTCACTAAAACAACTTAATGTCTAAAAACTGTCAATAATTCGGGTTCTTTCTATACGGGTCAAAACAAAGTCAAACCCAGGTTTATTTCCTAAAATTCGACCCAGCGAGGGGCTCTGCCCCTTGGACCCCGCTCCCAAGGGCATTGCCCCCAAACCCCCGTTCATTCAGGGACTTCCCCCATAAATGGCAGTATGCTTTGAATATTAAATAATTTTAAACAAGTGTGCACTCTGCACCTTCTTTACTTGTTTGATATTCTACAAGATTAATTTTAGTCAACAAGTCAATGCATTACACTTACATACACATAGATGACACAAATCACCAACAATGCATTCTCGTGTTTACCACCGCAACCACCATTGTCATAGTCACCGCTACCCCTATCATCGTCACCACATCTGCCACCGACCGTCACATTCATATATGAATAGTGGCTTGAGAATAGACACATAATTATTCATATATGAATATACTTATATATTCATATATAAATATACTTATTCATATATTAATAAATATATACTTACTCATATATGAATACTTGTCATCGTCATGAATATATGTCATTGTCACCAACACCTCTGCCACCCACCACATCGCTATCTTCGTTGTCGCCGCCACCAACCATCATACTCATATATGAATAATAACTTATGAATAGAAATAGAGTTATTCATATATGAATATACTTGTATATACATATATTAATATTATATGTTTCGTCGTCCCTGTACGCTGAAGCGGTTAAGCGGCAGATTTGAAATATCTGGCCCAGATTTGTCGTCGCGTTCTCAATTTCATAATTGTCCTCCCACTTCCACACATGAATATATAATAGTTGCATCTTGTCGTGAGGCCTCTAGTGCTCTGCATTGACCTTCTTGCAGGTCAGACATCTCTTTACGTACCATGCCACATCCCACTTCATGTGGGGCCACCAGTAATAAGGTCGAAGATCTTTGTACATCTTTGTCGCCCCGGGGTGGATGGAGAACCTGTACTTGTGGGCCTCATCCATCAATTTCTGACGTACTCCGCCCCAATACGGTACGCAGACCCTCCCATGCAAGTTCAATAATCCACGATTGTCGTAATCAAAGGAGTTCACCTGGTCTATGATCCGCTCGCACTTCCAATGCTCCTCCTTCAGGCCCTCAAAATGCGCCTCTTGGATCTGCTCAAGCAATAGAGTAATCACAGTTATCCTCAGACAGTTGTCTCGGATCGGGACCGCTACTGCCTTGCGACTCAAGGCATCGGCCACCACGTTGGCCTTGCCCGGGTGGTAAAGGATCTCACAATTGTAGTCCTTCACCACATCTAGCCACCGACACTGCCTCATGTTCAGATTTGGTTGATCCATGAGGTACCTCAAACTCGTGTGGTCCGTATAAATGGTACAACAAACCCCATAGAGGTAATGCCTCCAAATCGTGAGGGAGAAAACCACATCCCTAACTCTAAATCATGTGTCGAATAGTTCGCCTCGTGAGGCTTCAACTGCCTCAAAGCATAAGGTTCACATCACCCCTATGCATCAATACCACACCCATGTATGTGATTGAAGCGTCATAGTAAACCACAAAATTATCTACACCCTCTGGCAGAGCGAGAATCGATGCCTCACACAACTGCAACCTGAGCGTATCGAAGGTTGCCTGCTGCTCAGGTCCCTAGTGAAAAACCACCGAATTTTTGGTCAGTCGGGCCAAAGGAATTGAAATCTTGGAGAAGTCCTGAATAAATCTCTAGTAATAACCTGCTAGACCCGGGAAACTCCGAATCTCAGTTAGAGACCTCAAAATCTCTCATTGCATCATTGCCTCTATCTTGGCCGGATCGACCAGAATACCCTTCTGGTTGAAAAGATGTCGAAGAAACTGCACCTCACGCAACCAGAACTCATACTTGGAGAACTTCGCAAAAAGTGTCTCTCTGTTAACCCTCGCAGCCCTGACGGTCTTATCATCTGCTATCTCCACATCCAGTGGGAAATCCAGCTCCCCTGGAGCTCCTACAAATCACTTCCTGAGCGCGAGCGACACAAAAGATCAGGTGGCACCCGAATAAAACAGTATCAAAGCTGATATACCGTTCACTAAGAACGATACTATAACAAAACATATAAACATAAGTAAAAATCAATATCAATACAGAGATAAGGGAAAGATACATACCTACCACCACGTCAGGAGCTGCTTATGCCTCCTCTGCAGTAAGTTGAAAAGCCCTGCTCCGCACCGTAGGCGCCTCAGCCCGGCCCTAACGACCATCTGTATTCCTTAATGTGGCAGGAGAAGGTGCTGCCACCTTCACTGCTGTTGCTAAACTCGGGCACCAGGACTATCACAACTGGCATATTAGCCAGGAAATTTTGTGATCATGTAAACGTCATCTATGATAATATTTGTAACTCTAACTTGATATCATGCACAATGTTCATTCTATGACAACAAACTTAGTCAAGATCCACAATTGAAGTTCAAAACTATATGCAAAGTATTTCAAATAGTCAATAATGAGTTGAAAACCCTAAAAATCCCGGTTCAAGTTCTTTATGGACAAAGATTTTCTTATTGGGCCTAACGGACCAATAAGCATTCAACTCGACTATTTTGGGTCTAGAAACCCTAATTGGGTTCTAAATTGACCCACGTTCATAAAACTTAACATATTGGGCCATATGGACCTAAAATGGTTCATATTATTCCTATTGGGCCAAGTTGGGCCATAACAACTCCAATCACCCTAATGGGCCATAAACTCCATTTCTTTTACTCAATTGGGTCGTAAACTACCTAAGTGACTTTCATTGGGCTGTGAACACTCCTAAAGGCCCAATAGGTCGAGGACCTTCACCATGGGCCTCATAATCTTGAGCCAAATCAAGAAAAGGCCCAAACCCCTACATTCTTTTCCTTTCTCGGTTTTGTAAAAAAAGGAAAAGGAAAAACATTAACCAACTAATTGCATAACACCTCATAAGTATTTGTTGGATATCCATGCAAGAGTGCATGTATCCATGCAACTCTCACATCACTCCCCTTAAAGAGTCAACTTATCTCACTCTCATCTCTCACTCTATCTTTCGGCCACTCTCTCCCTTTCTCCAACCTATTTCATTTCAAACACAACCATACTTCTCTAGATCATCTAACACTCATCCACCTATTTTCCTCAAGAAAACTGTGAGTATAAGGAAGATCTTCAAGAGAATCACTTCAAGCTTCACTTTTTGGTAAGATCTTGCAAATCCAAGTGATATACTTCATCTTTAAACTCATTCACTCCTCTTACACCCATGTTTTCGTGAATCATGCTCTTAGAACACCTTAGAGCTCGAAAATCACCTCAATAACACATATAGGGCCGAGATCTCTTTACTTCTTCATCAAATATGGAAACATCAAAGCAAAGGTGAGTTCATACCCCCTTGTTGTTGGTTTTTATATGTTTTTGGGCGGAGAATACAAGTATTTATGTGTAGATTTATGTATTTATGCATGTTATGTGTGATTTTCTTTGTTTATGCTGTGAATATGTGATAAAACTTGATAAATCTCGAAAACTTTAACAAAAATGGGTGAGATTCATAAACTAAATACTTTAGTCATCATACTACAAAGGATAAAAGTGATATACATGTTTAAGATGTGAAAAACAAAACAAAAATCTTGTATAAGGATCATTCTTGACAAATGAACAAAAGTTTGAGACAATAGTGACACTTTCGGTTTTATAAGGATCAAAAAGGTCACATTTGTATAAAAATGAGTTTTTAAAATAATCATACTTTTCAAAGGGACAAAAGTGTAAATTTTAGCATTATGGGCCTTAATTTGGGCATTATGGCTTTTTGGGCCCAAATTGCAAAAATGACAATTTTTATGGATTAAAATGTTAATTTTATAAAAATTGGGCCGAAAATGTCATTTAATTTAAATAAGGGTTGAAAATGTAATTTTCTACAAAGATGGGTTAAAAATGTCAATATATGTATTTTTAGGCCAAATCCGTCAATGATTAAACATTTGGGCCGAAAATACAAATTTTTATAAATTAATTAGCTAAATTGTTATTTTTAATTTAATTGACCAAAAATGGCATTTTATGTAAAAACAAGCCTTTAAATGTTCAAATTTGTTCTTAAGGGACCTAAAGTGAAATTTTTTATAAAAAAAAATGAGTTCAAATTATAGAATTTTGAAATAAAAATATCATTATAACAAAATACTGGACTTTTTATGACATTATGGATAAATGTTTCGTCTAATAGAACTATACTATAACAAACAAACGAAATACAACAACGGTACGACTATTGGGTCTAATACTCACTATACATGTTTATTGGGCCTCCGTGATTCATTTGCATGTTTATTAGGCCCAATATAATCATTTCATGTCTATTGGGCCTTCGCGATCCAATTACATGTTTAATGGGCCTAAATTAGCCTCACATGTTATTGGGCCTTAATGGCCCATTTACATGCAAATTTAGCCTGGAAAAATTCATCATATGCTTAATGGGCTTTAAGATGTCCATTTGCATACTATCAAGCCTGGAAATAACTTACATGTCTAGTGGGCCACAATTGTCATTTTTCATGTTTGTTAGGTCATATCTTTTCATATTCAAGTATCATCTGATGTTTGTAAATCTAAATACATATAACATTATACATATTCATGTGGCAATAATTGGGATCTAGTGAGACTTGTCGGTTGACACCATTGAGTGTACGGCCGTAGCCTGTAGTTATAATCAGAGTCTCCTGGAGGGAGAGCAAGAGTTTGTGTATAGATCTATATGGGGGTGACTCCCCCACACCTGAGCTGTTTGCTACAGTTAGACTAGGTCAGTCTAGGGTGACAGAACCTTGATAAAAAAATCGGCGTTTGAAAAAATTCCAAGACATGCAAATTAGTCATTATCATGCATGGTTATAATCACTCACATATAGATCCATTACCATCGATACATTACAGGTGTAACATCCCAAAAATACAGGCCAAAATTTTCATTTTTAAATACATTATTATAAAACCAACAGTATAAGAAAACATCCATAATATAATGTCATGTCAAAACCAAAGTAGAAATAATCAAAACATGTTATCATAAAACAATATCAGAGTGTAATCCCAAAGATCTTGTGTGCGGAAAACCGTAGTGTGATGTGTTGCGATCAAGCCAGCTCCTTTCTCTTGAAAACGAAGTACCTGAAACCAAAACTGAAAACAGTAAGCACAAAGATTAGTGAGTTCCCCCATTATACCACATACCATACAATCACAAAACATACATACTATCGGGCAATTATGGGGTGCCTGGCCCACCTGATACGGCCATTCTGGGGTGCCGACATACCCGTGTCAAGCCATTTTGGGGTGCTGGCCTACCCGTGTCAAGCCATTCTG